ATTGCACAACTTGTCACTGGGAATGTCTGAAGTGTTTCACATCACTGTCATATTTGGGAAAACATTGATCAAGTTTCTTTCTTTCATAAAAGAGCAGTAGGATTGCAGGTTATGTCCACACATCACTCAAGCCCCTGCTGGGCTTTGAAAAGGGACTGAGCAGTTGAGGGGCCCTGAAGGTGGAGCTTCCTGAGCTGTAAGGTGGCAAATTTGCTGTCGTGTGGAGGTCCAACCTCTGAGGCTCACCCTGAAGGGGTGTGATCTGCCTTCACACATCCCGTTCTGATGGGGCCTGTGCGCTGTCGCTGTCCCTCAGACCCTGGGAGACCCACATTTGTGCTTCCCATGTGCCCCGAAAGGCGTCAGCTTTTCCCCTTGGTTCCACCCTCCATGAGAGTTGAGTTTAAATTCCTTCTTTCCAGCATTTGAGTGATGTGAAGAAATTTTAAAATTACCCTTTTACACAATGGTTTCAGCTGGAGGGTGGATCCCCTGAGTCACCAGGACCAGTGATGACCACAGTGGCCCCCTTTGGGACCACCTTCTCGACTTACACCTCATCTGTAAGGGAGTCACTTTCAGGTTCACATCTGGACAGGCCTCTCAACCTCTGGGATCCTCAGTATATTTATGTGCAGGCTCAGGAGGGGGGAGGGGAGATAGGAAGATTTCTCAGCCACCACACCCCCCAACTACTGTGTAGGCCAAGTTCCCCTTCCAGGACTATCCACAGTCTCTCCCCTTGGGCTTCCTGTTGGGGTATCCTCAGCTCCACCCAGAGCTGGCACTTTACTCCCTGACACAGGGACCTGGACCTGCTCTGTGCTGAGAGAGGCAGACATGGTGACCCTGTTGCTGCTGCTCCTGCTGTCGGGGGGTGAGTGGGCCCAGGGAGGTGGGGTGAGGAAATGGGAGAGGGATGGGGCTGCATCTGAGCTTCTGTGTCCCCCTCCCAGAATCTCTGGAGGAGCATCCAGGCTTTGAGCTCCAAGTGCAGGAATCCGTGACGGTGCAGGAGGGTCTGTGCGTCCACGTGCCCTGCTCCTTCTCCTACCCCTGGAATTCACGGTCTTCCTCTAGTGAACTCTACACCTACTGGTACTGGAAAGAGGACAGCATATGGTACAGTCCACCTGTGGCCTCGAATGACCCAAATAAACCAGCAAAGGGAGAAAACCAAGGCCGTTTCCTCCTCCCGGACGCCAGGAACAACAACTGTTCCCTGCACATCAGAGATGCCAGGAGGAGTGACACAGGAATATACATCTTCCGAATGGAGAGAGGAAGTGTGAAATATAATTATCAAGACAAGATGCTGAATTTGCAGGTGACAGGTACGGCAGGGGCCCCGGAGAGAAGTCTGAAATGTGGAACTGAGTCT